CTTGCATATGGTGAAAATCCTCATTTTACCAAACCTGCCTCCCTTAGATGTCTATTACACAACTATGGCACCCCTTCTGTCTGATTCTAGCCCCATCCTACCAGAATTAGTCCTGGAACAACTCGGCATCCTCAAAATCTGGATGGAGAGTGGCACCCTTGTTGCCCGCACCATTTTTAAAAGGGTCACTGTGCATCTGGACAAATGTTAGCAATTTGGCAGTGCCTCTCATCAGTAATGAAAATTGCACAGTAGCCTCAAAGCCATACTGCTCACAGCGCATAGCCAGCATGGCTGACACTCAATTCATGAATACAACAATTTTCTCAACTAAGTCACTGTTTAACCACCAGCCTACAATTTATCTGCCTTTATCTACATCCTATCTAAATACCTTAAGTCACTGCTACTCTGTACCCAGTGCCCACTGTTGATCTGCAACTGGTCACTGTCCAGTAGGGGAACATCACAAAAACACACAAAAAAAAAACAAAGAACTGCAATGCTGGAAATAGAAATTGGTGGAAACACTCAGCAAGTCTGGCAGGTCCTATGGAGAGAAAGCAGAGTTAATGTTTCAGATCCAGTGATCCTTCCTCAGAATTGGAGGCAAGCAATGGGACAAATCCTAAGGTGATCTTTCATTTACAGCAAGCAAAAGTGAACACAAACAAAATTAACAGAGGCTACTATTCTTCCACACATAATAAACCAAATGGTGGTATGAGTCCACAATAATCTACTGAGCTCTGTCATGCACAAGAAGAGCTCCATCTTCTCCCAATTTCCTCATCCTTTTCCTTAGAAGACAGCTCCTGTCTTCCAAGTTCCTCAGCATTTATCACATTGTCTTGTTCTCCGATTGTGCCGAGTACCGCATGCCAGGATAATGCAGTACATTCTGTCCGAACCACACAGAGGGCCTCCAGACTGGTCTAAGTCACGGAATCATATTTTCAGCTACCCTATCATGTCCACCATGATCCTGACCAAATCACGGGTAGCATTATATTACGCTCTGCATCAGTTAAAAGCTGTACAATATTGCCACCAGCCGGGGTCATAGGGAGTAGAGTTCTCCAGGACGCAAACGTTGGCTGGACACTGATCAATGGAACTCCTTCCCCATGATGAATTTGGCCGTGTTGTAATGTAGCCGCCTATGTGCCATGTGTGTACAGTTGATGGCACCCAGGGGAGCGAGGTATGTTTCTGAATCCTACCACCTAGGTTGCAGCACTGACCTTATCAACTAGAAACAAAATGATCTTGCACAGGTGGCATTGGTCACTTTCCTGAGGCATTTGTGGGTATACAATGGATCGCACACAAGTCATCTATGACTCCCTGGAAACAGCCTGTTGCTTTGAAGTCCAACGTAGCTGTCACTTCTCATAGTCACTGGGGGAGAATGGTCCCTACTCCTGCAGCTGACAAATCCAGCTCTCACATTCAGAATAGTTCCATCCCTGTGTTTGCGACATACAAAGCTGTACTGATAGTGCACCCTATTCGGCCCCAGAAAATGAAGTCGGGATGAAAAACTCAACTACTCCTGCAGTCAGCACGCTTCCTAAGGGATCCATGGCTGCGAACTCTGACTGAGCAGGGTGCTTTTCAGCCCCCACAGCAGCCTACTGCTGTACCTGAGCTTGCTGTCAGCCCTGGTCCTCCTGCATCTACTTTCACATTTTTAGGAAGTCAGCCAGGCCACCAACATCCCACCATCAGTCAAGGGCGTGACTCATGCTGGCAATTAGCTATATTGGGAACATAAGCAGCAAAACAGATACTTCGCTCTCAGAACAGTCAGAGGTGATATGCCCTATTAATCAGGACTGCACACACTCCTTCACACAGTAAGATATGCAGTGCTCAGAAAACGAATGCCATATCTTCATTATGCATTCAACTACAGCCTCCACATGTGCACCAACTAGATGAAGGTGCCGCACCCGCTGAGTGACCCCCTGACCATTGTCTTTTCAGCACCCCAAATGATAATTTCCACTTGCAATGGCCTTACAGAACAGACCATTGCCTGCACAATGGACTTTAGTCAGACAAATCCCGACTGGGGTTTGTAAGATTGTTATGCCTAAGACTGTATCATTAGCTCAAGATAAAATGAATGTAGTTATAGGACCTGTTCTGAAGTCTGCCTGACAGCTGAGGTGACTTAACTGGTAGAGATTGCACACAGCTCAGAGGTCTGGTGGACAGTGGTACTGTCCGTAGCTCTGAGCCAACAGCCCTGGATTCAAGCCCCACCTGCATCATAGGCAAGTCATAATACATTTGAACAGGTTGATTAAAAATATCTAGCTCAGCTCAGATGGTTTTACTGGAAACATGGCCACAACGGCCAAACCATATGCATTGATAGTGGATCGTGAGAGTTTCTGAAGTCCAAGCAAAGTATTGAAAATATCAGGTGCTAAACACTCAGTTTTGAAAGTCTCTAGGATTACTCACAAGGTCCATGGTTTACATTTCTATGGAGATGGGCTTTGAGAGGATAAGGGGATCAAAACTTTTGGGGAGAAGGCAGGAGTGTGGGGTTGAGAAACGTATCAGCCATGATCAAATGATGGAGCAACCTGGATGGGCTAATTCTGCTCCTCAATGGTATGGTCTTATAAAGGTTTTCAAGATACTTCTGAAAAAAATCACAGGCAGTCTTCCAGGATCTGAAAGAACAGTTAGAGGCTGTAAGTCTATATTGTTTACTAAGCAGATAGTTGGGAGTTCACACATGGTTTGAAAAGAATAAATTCACAAGGAATTGAAACAAAGCTGAAGATTCACCACTTGTGCTAGAGGGAGAATTAGCAAGAAAACCTCTCGCTGGTCTACAGTAAAAAGGTTGCAGACTGGGCAAAGAAAGAAATGGAATTAAAACCTTGGGAGCCAAGAATTGAAAATGTGAATAACCACTTAAGGGATAATGAAAACTACACTTCAGAAGTGAGGTTTTTCCAGTTGTGCTAAATACGAAGAGAAACGGAGATCTGTTAACCAGCATCAATTGCAGTAAATAATTGCCCCTTTCTCTGTATTAGGGATATCAAACATTGTATCTTAGAGATAGAGTTTTCTGTCTTTAGGCAGCAAGACTACAAACATTACCATGCAAGTGTTTATGCTTCACTTTAGCCTCCTCTCATCTTTCCTCATCTGGATCAATCATGATCTTCTCTTCCCTTCTCCCTCATGTTTCACTTTCTTCCTTAAATGCAGAGACACTATTTTTTTCAAATAATCTTTGCAATAGTGAGTTTCACACACTCGCCACTCTTACAAAAAGATCTGTGTTTTGTCACCCACTAGATTTTGACTTGCCCGTCTATTGTATGTTGGAGGAGGACTTGGTACATCAAAGACTGTAAGTCATTCATAATTTTCCACTGTCTGTAATTTCAAGAGGCCGCTTGTAGCTATTAAAAGTTATGTGAAACTGTCAGTACTGCTTATATTTTCACAGGTGTGTTTTTAGCGGAAATCAAAACTGCTCTCACTGTAATTCATTGTCAACATTTGATGGACTGCCAGACCAGGTAAACTACATGTTGAACTAAGTGAGAAATGTACTTTTGAGTCCCTGGATCATATTTGGAGCAAGTTATGTCAGTTCTGGAATCATTCCTATGGCTTACAGGAAGGCCTACTTTGTTCCAATATTTACAAAGCAAAAGAAATCAAACCCCAGGGATTATATGCCTGTTACTTCAATGTGACTCAGAGGAAAGGTGATGGAAAAATGACATTAGGAACGAGGGGAGTGATTAGACAATTCCAGCAACAATTTAGGAATCATAGGCTGTTCCGTTATCTGACTGAATTTTTGTGAAGAAATTATGTTGTTTGTGGTCAATAGTTTATAATAATAAAAGCAAAACACTGTGGATGCTAGAAATCTGAAATAAAAACCAAGTGCTGGGGAAACTCAAAGTCTGGCAGCATTTATGGAGACACAGAGTAAGAGAGAGAGACAGAGAGAGAGAGTTAACTTTTGAGTTAATATGATTTCTTCAAACTGGAGAAGAGTCATATTGGACTCAAAACATTAAGTGTTTCACTCTCCACAGATGCCAATTTGCTGAGTTTCTCCACGGTTTTGTTCTTACATTAGTCTAGTTAGTATTGTCAAGTTTCTAGACAGTCAAAAGTGCCACACCAAAAGCTATTGGGGATATGTAGGGATGCATGACAAGAAGAGTGTGGGTGCTCAAAAGGTAGAATTTATAAACTCCTACCACAGGTAAGTTTGAGTCAAGTAGGATGTTAACTTGTTTAGAATCCCTACTTCCTGGATTAAAGGAAGCAAGTGGGGAACAGTGACTAATTAACTCACAGGAGGGGCACAGTCTATGAAGAGTGGATGCTGTGGATTTTTCAGGTTTAATCAGTCATCAGTAGCTAAACAGAGGCAATACTGTTTGTATCATTGATGTCCTACTTCCCCTCACCACTCCCCTAACATCTTTCTGATCACTCCTGCCTCTTTGCTTCCTGGTCATGGCTTAATAATTTGGATAGCTAAAGCCAGGTAGTGAAGACAAAAGCTATTACTAGCAGAATCTTAAGATAAACTCAGTCTTCTGCGATTCTGAAATCTAAATCTGCAACTCCTCCCCCCAACACCTCGCTAATAATGGGAAATATAAAGCTTCACTTTCCTACACAAACCTCATGTTCATTCCATGGTCATATGAAAACTATGTCTCCAGCCTGTATTATGAGTTTTTAGAATTCCTGAGCAATCCTCAAGCTTTCATTATTTTAAACCAAGGTAGTTTGGTATGGTCCTTTTAATTGACTTCTCTGAACAAGTCGAACAGGGAGAATGGGTTTCCATGTTGACAAAATTTGTGATTTATTTTAAGTAAAACCAAGTAATGTGTGGCAAAACAATTATTTTCTTCTACTCAAAAAGCAAGTGTCCTAAGAACTTTAAATGAAACTAAGTAAACTTTAATGCTTTCAACAAACCTAGTTACCTTTTTCCTTTCTTTTTCCAAAGCTCTCCATTGTTCATAGCACTCCTCCAATCGGATGTGAAGCTCATTGGCTGGACCACTTCGATTTTTCATAGGTCTTGGAAATCCAAATGGTGGTATAAATCCATAAAGGGATGCATCTCCATAAAACATATCATTGAAAAGGGGATACAAGTGACTGAACTCCTCATAAGGAAATAATTCACTGGGATCCATTAATGAAACAACAGGGTGCCCAAACTGAAGGTTAGTTCCCGAAGCAACACCACGTGCACCAAGTTGTGACATATTATGGTTCCGTCTAAAGTCACCCATCATGTAGGGACTTGAAAAAGAAGCTGACGAACGAGTCATATAATTTGCTACACTGTTGCTGTCTCCAGCTCCTTGTTGGGAATTGTGACTATTGTAATAGTAAGACTGAGCACCTAGCAAATCTCTGTACATGCTCTGGGAGAATTCATCATCCTTTTTTTTCACATCTTCATTCAGATCATAATGGCAATTTTGCTGTTTAGTTTGGTAACTAGGATATTTGTTTGCAACATATTGCTGAGTTGATGAACTCCCATGGAATCCATTTACTTGTTTTCCATTTTGACAATTCTTCTCAATGGGTGATTCGAAGTACACATCTCCAGCTTTGTTTTGCCCTTCAACATGCGTACCTGACTGAACCCGTTCCACATTATATGCAAATTCACTACCAGACACCTTGGAATGGTTATCCTGACTATAAATTCCTGTGGGTCTCTGGAAGTAAGCACTACTGTTTTGAGAAAAAGGCAAGGAAGACTGATGAGAAGATGGACAAAAAGAATGGGATGACGTTTTAGAGGCAGGAGATACTTGATTATTGAGGTCTGTTGAGTTGTCTGCTTTCCCAAAGGAAGTAGTGGTAGCAGTTTCAGAACCAGAAGTAGTTAATTTCGTCCAGGATTGTCTGTTTTGGTAAGTCTCTCCAGAATACACAGATACAGGTAAAGCATTTAATGGCTGAACATAATCAGACTGCTGAGAGAAATGATCATAATTGGAATGTTGTTGCTTTTCAAAGGCCTTCTCAAAGTCACTTCTAATCGGGCAAAACGTATGTGGATTTCTTCCACATTCAGATGCACACTTTTGCCCCAAATCACTAGTTAATCCCATTTCTTTTGAAAGCTGTTTTTCACTCAAACCAGACGATGATTTTACACAGTATTTTAAAGTATGTTGGTCAATGTTTAATTCATCAAACCCCTTTTGTGCTTGCTTCCCTTTTGACACTCTACTGCAGGTATCCATTTCTATCACTGGTAATTCTGGCATACAATCAGAAGAGGTCTTTCCATCTGCTATGTTAAAATTCACAAATTTGCTCTGTCTGAATTTACTGCCATGTAGTTGCTCCATATATCTATTGCCAGCATTACTGTTGTAGGAGTTTCTGGAATTATGCAGAAAAGGAAACAATTCTGTGGACGTCTGACTGGATGGAGTACCGACTTCTTTAAAATCTCCTCCATCTCTGCCATACATGTGTACATCTGTTCCTGGTTCTCTAACTGATACTGATAATCCTACTTGAAGTTTAGAACAATTCTTCACATAAGGAAACTCCTGAAAGTTCATCTTGTTGGTATCCGTGGACTGAAAAGGACTGCAGTCAGCAGCTTCTTTCTTTGAAGGAAAGATCCATTGCTCTGTAAGATCCAAGTCATCAAATCCTAAGAAATCTTCCATATTTATTTTCTGCTGTGAGGCTAAATGACTATCCTGCTGGTACTGTTGTTTGTCAGAGGTTGCTATGGATTCTTTCGCATTAAAAACGGATTGTGAATATGATGTATCCACAGGTTTCTTAGACTCAGATGTGTGATCTAGATGTTCTGTATATCTGCTGGTTGTGGAAGACCATATTGATCTTAGCAAATTAGAGGAGGTATTTCTAAAATAAAAGATATGTTGCAAGGAGAGATTAAGTAATAGTTTAATTAGTTTTAAAAGGATAATATGCATTGCAAAATTGCATTTTGTTTGACATGATGTAACAGCACACTAGGTAACCAATGCACTACATCACAGCTGTGGAGAAATGCAGGCAGTACTCTCTGCATTATTGTAATTCATTGCAGCTATGCAGCTGAAACAATTAGGCTGGTCAGAGCAGCAAGGGACTAAGAAAGTCAGTAGAAATGGTATTCTACATCTTATGCCCAGTTCACACTGACAAGAGTAGACTGTTCAGCTACAACTAGGGGTCCAATACTATCAGAAGGTCAAAATACTTATCACGCAAAAAATGGTTTACGCTTGATCCTCATTATAAGTGTGAAATCAAACCAAGACATCTACGCCCCCCGAGCCCAACTCATTAACAGGTTCTGACAGATCCAGTGGTACTTCCGAGTTTTTCAGGACAAATAGGGATTTCCATTCTAGTGCTATCCGCGGTTTTAGGTTATCTGCGGGAGATTCATGCCCCGAATCCCCGCTGACAATGAAGATTAGGCACATTTCATTTATTAACCAAAACACTTATATACAAGAACATACCCTTCAACAAACAAGGATTGCGATTGCTCAGGTTCTTCTAAAATATTGGAAACAAGTCCATACAGGTCTGCAGCACTCCCAAAATCACTCAGTTCAGTCTGAGACCTATCCAGGAAGAAGATCATCCAAAAAGGCAATTAATTTTTGACTGCTGTGCTAAAATCCACAAGTCAGAATCATTAGGATCAATGCACAATTCAAAAACAAAGGAAATAAAAAACAAGCAATTTGGTTTGATATTGAGACTGAATCCACTATAAAGTGGAACACCACTTCTGAAATCTCAAGGAGTGCAATTGTTTTATCAATTAATTTGAGAAATATTAGTAGATTTAACCCAGTAATTAGTGTTTTAAAAAGGTCAGCAGCATTACGCCTTGTATACTCGTTTATTCCTTCAAAGAGCACAGAACTGGTTATACTTTTGTGAGATCAATTGGAAGTCAAAAGAAACCCTCAGGGAGTAACTGATGGTTAGCTCAGTTGGGAGGACAACTGGTTTTGATGCAGAGTAACACCAGCATCACAGGTCCAATTCCTGTGCTGGCGGAGGTCACAATGAAAGCTCCACCTTCTCAAACTCACCCCTTGTCTAGGGCATGGTGACCCTTGGGTTAAACTTACCATCAGTCAACTTTAGTGAGAATGCAGCCTTACGGTCCATTGGGACTTCAGCAACTTTACCTATTACGTTACCATGCATCGTATCAGCCCAATGGCAATCATTACAGTGATAGAAGGTATCGTTGACAGTATTGAGAGACACACCTACTCAACAATAGCCTGCTCACTGATGTTCAGTTTGGGGGATTCCACCACTGCACCTCAGAGTCTTGTCCCAAATGTGGGCAAAACAGCCAAATTCCAGAGGTGATGTGAAAGTGGATACCTTGCCATTCACGCACATCGACCGACAGTAGCATCAAGGAGCTCATGCAAAACTGAAATCAATGAGAAATCATTCCTCTAGATGGAGTCATATCTAGCACAAAGGAAGATGGTTATGGTTGTTGGACACCACATTTCATTCCTTGGGCATCACTGTAGGAGTTCCTCAGGGTAGTTTCCTAGGTCCAATCATGTTCAGTTGTTTTATCAATGATGTTCCCTCTATCACAGCATCAGAACTGAAGATGTTTGTTGATGATTGCTCATTGTTTTGTATCATTCGCAGCTCCTCAGTTACTGAATCAGTCAAGGCCCACTTGCGAGATCTGAATAACATTCAAGCCTAGACTAATAGATAACAAGTGACATTTGTGGCAAGTACTAAACCATAACTATTTACAGCATGAGAGAATCTAATTGATTCCTGTTGACCTTCAATAGCATTACATCGTGAATCCCAGGAATCAACATCCTGGGCATTGCTACTGTAGAACCTGAACTGTGCTGGCCATATAAATACTGCAGCTGCAAAAACAAGTCAAAGGCTAGAAATCCTGTGGCATGTGACTCACCTTATGGCTCCTTGAAGCCTGTTTACATTCTAAAACGGCACAAGTCAGAGGTCTGGTGAATACTCCCCGCATGTCTGGATCAATGCAGCTCCCAAAATTCTCAAGGCAGAATGCTTGACTGATATCCCATACAGGACCATAAACATTCCTACCCTCCATAAATAACACACAGAGGCACTGCAGCAACTCATCCAGCCTCCTTCAACTGCACACAAAACCTGCAATCTCTATCACGGAGAAGAAAAAGCTAAGGCAGCAGACTCAAAGAATACCACCACTTGCAAGTTGTCCTCCAAGTCATGCACAGACTAACTTGGAACTATATCACTATTCCTCTACGTTCACTTGGTCAAAACTTGGAACTCTCTTCTTATAGCACAGAGTACCTACGTACCACATGAACTACATAACCTTTTCCAAAGCAATCAAGAATGAGCAACAAACACTAGTGTTGCTAGGGACTTACATCCCATGATCAAAAAAAAAAGACCAAACTGACAGATTTTACTCTCGGAATCATAGAACAGTTATGGCATAGGAGGTGGCCGTGTGGTCTACTGTGTCTGTGCTGGCTCTCCAAAGCAGCAAATCTACCTAGTGCCACTCACCTGCCTGATCCCCATAGCTCTGCACATTCTTTACAGAGAACAATCCAATTTCCTCTTGAATGCCTACACTGACCTTGTCTCCATCACGTTTTCAGGCAGCACACTCCAGTTGCCAACTACCTGCCAAGTGAAAATGCTTTTCGTAATGCAAATGCTACCTTATCTTAAATCTGTATCCTCTTGTTCTCAGTCTTTCCACAAATGAGATGATATTTCCCATCTATTGTCCAGATGCCTCATTATTTTGAATACCTCTACAAAATTTCCTCAACGTACTATTCTCCAAGTATAAAAATGAGCTCCAACTTCTCTAATATATCTATGTACCTAAAATTCCTCATCCCTAAAACCATTCTTGTCAATCTTTATTGCACTCTAATGCCTTTATATCCTTCATAAAATATGGCATCCAGAACTATATGCAAAATCTAATTTGTGTGAAACCAGCTTAACTTCTCTTCCAGACTTTTTCAGCAATTTCACAGTTACAATGAATCATGTGATGGCTTCATTTCAAACTGTAACACACACATTTGACAAGTGGTCAAGAATCCACCTGGTTCTTCCAGGTTGCAGTTCTGATGAATCTACATTTACACCACATTTGTGACAAAATATACAATAGTTATGCAAAGCAGGGAAACCTTTACTTTTAGCAGTCACCAATTTTAAACTTTACATAGTGAATAGAAAACGTATGACCAGATCATTCATGCTTTATTAGATGTGTGTCAGTATTTGGTGCATCAACGATCTAATATTTCCTTTTCTTTCATTATGTACTCAATCACATCAAGTACACCTTTTCACTTTTTTCCAGACCCGATAGCAACTTTCTCATTTCTTTCAAAGTTGCAGACTGCAGTCAATGAAAAGCCTGCTTCCTCCCACAGTTCTACATGCCACCTCAAAAGGGGAGTTCTCTTAGCCCTAAAAACTGCCATTTTCCTCCATGTGCCCCCTCTAACAGCAGTCCCAGCCTTTGAGCTTCAAAAAAAATGCAACAACTTTTTCAACACTGTAGAGATTAGGCTATAAACTATGAAAAAGACTACAGTTTGCATTACTCCGCTCCATGATTTAATATTATAATCCTTCCAAATATACAGCGAGAATATTAAATTTGGATATAACCTAGGATCATACCGTCTGTTGCCTGTCAGCATAAAGCTTGGATCAGGCCAAACATATTCCTAAAACTGTACCCACAGAAATGATCAAGCCAAACATGCCACCCACTTCACACATGCATGGCAAACATTTCATACTCTTTAATTTAGCTCACCTAATTCAACTGAAAATGCACTAATCTTGACTGATAATGACCCAATATACTAACTCTTCTGATGACAAACAAAACCAGAAATCATTCCCAGTCTTCAATAATTAAACTGCTCCAGATATAAATGGGCCAATCAAGAATTTGACAGTCAAATTCAGAAACTAGGTGTTGACTAAGTCCCACCTTCAATCAGATCTTTGATCTCTATTGTTTATCTAATGCTGCATTTTACCTCAAATGGCACAGGATCTGTCCTACTGCCAAGCCCATTTGTTTCTCGTGGTCTAACCTTCTCTGCTACCAGGACCTTCAGCCCAGGGTGTTACAGTGAATGGACAATGAACTCCACTCAAGGTGCGAGGGACACTTTCAAGCAGCACCACAATAAAAGGGAGTTGTCAAGGAAAGCCTTCATATAAGGGACAGGATTTTATCAATTTAGTCTCTATCAGAACACCAGGACCATTTGAGTGTTGGGTATCCGAAAAGTAAAGTATTCACCTTTTCCAAGACTGTTACTGTTTCCTAGAGTCACAGCTTAAACATCCTTCCTCAGAATTTCCTTATAAATTAGGGAGGGTGGATAGGATGAAACACCTATTCTGTCCAAGGAAGAACTTTAATTCATCAGTTTACAGCATGATTCAGGGATCCTGCTGTGGGACTGAAGGTGTTGCAGTGAGGTTGTTCTCCCAAGAACAGGTGAAAAGGCTATCCTTTTCTGTAAAACACGCGAGATGGAAATGGCTGAGGAAATCAAAAGCAAGATTGTGGTCCGTTCAAATGTGAGTAAGTGCACCAAGAGGATCTTGGACAGTAGGTGGTCAGGGCAGGTGACATAACACTTTCAAGTGTCAAATCCTATATTCTGACTAGCCCAGCATTCTTCAGAGTAACACACCTTGCAGTTCTACTCATTCCATTGTGCACTCACCTCAATGACCCTAGCATGTTGCTGAGAGACCAGAAATGGGTGCTGTAGCCATCAATTCAAGAATTGAAGGGTGAAAAGAGCTCCTTTTCTTCAAGTCGACCTCTTCAGACATTTTATAACACACATCCATGGCAGGTGGAACTTGAAACCAGAACGTTTGGCTCAGAGGGAACTATAGTACTACTGCTACCAGTGCTTAACAGCCAATAAAGGAGTTATAAATTGGCTTTTTAGGTATGTTAATCACGTTGCAGACCCAAAATGTTTTCCCTGCCTTCAATCCTACCTCAGTGAAAACCATAGATTCAAGAGATTCAAGTATGATCCCAACTCAAACCAATCTCCCCGTGTCTGCAAAGAATATCTGTAACAGAGTTTATTTGCCCTGGAAATTAATTTGACTAAAAAAACTGCAATCTCAGATCTTAAAATATTGAACTTTGTGCCAGAGATTGTACAGGATGAAAGATGGCATGTCAATGAGATTAACACATCAGATTATAAAGCAGACTATGGCATAATCACCAATCATTGGTGTGTAAGAAACGCCTAAGACTGTAACGGTTTGCAGGCTAAAGCTTTGGCATGTCCAGTAGCAGCACAGCAAAGTTTGAACATAGGGGTGGATTTTAAGTCAACACCAATGTGAAGTATTGGTGACAAATGTAAAATAAACAGATGGCCAGCACACTGCCTTCCCACCCCTGATCCATATCCCACGTTACATTGGGCTAGTAAGATAGCAATCTGTTTGCCTGCTCTTAAGCCAATTACTTGCCACTTAAGGACCTTAACCACCTAAAGTGGAATAACGTGTTTGACTGGGGCAAGTGACCAGTCTGTTCAGACTCATGGCATAGGAAAAACCAGACGTATATGCCTCTCGCCTTTGAATTTGGGGGTACTACTTCCTCCAAGACTGAACCCCTGCTTTCCCTGCACCCCTCAAAATTCACCCCATAAAAATAATATCCTCAGCGGTTGGTATTATTACCAATGCCATAACTATTAACTCTAACTCACTCCAAGACATGACTGTAGGGTCAAACATAATGAGGTAGAGGAGATGTGCCTTACCCTTTTATGAAGTGCCCAATATGTCCAACTTGAATCAATGAAAGAGGAGTATTGCACCAAAATTTCAGCTCTATATTAACAGCATACATGAAAATGGAAATGAAATGGTTGCACGTAGTCCAAGCATGGCTGGGCAGGATACATTGTAACATCAGCTATCTAACTGGCGTATCATGATCTTGTCCAATTCTATACAGCATGACCCAACCATCCTGGATTTTCTGGGGCTGTCCCCAATTTCTCTCCTTTAGCCTAACCAGACAGACACGGTGTCTACATATGAAGAGTCAAGAGGCAGCACAGTGCACATGGGAGAGAGCCACGAGAGACAGCAGTAAAGCTGCGCTCACTGGCACCAACATCATTCTCCACCCCTCTTTAACTTGATCCTGAAAGATTCCTTAAAACGTACCATTCTTCTCACCAGTGTTTCCATGTCCGAGGGACTTATCGAGCAATCACTTCTTGCCATTCAAGAAGTACGTTGTCGTGGTCTGAGGATTGTGTCTTGGAAAGCCAATGGGGCAAGCTTATGTGTACTGATCTCATGCAGGAGGATCTTCACTTGCCCATTAAAGGGGTGGGAAGTCACACTCTAGTTCAGATTTCGTTTTGTGTCTCTATTCACTTTTCTAATTTTTAACGTTACCCACTGGGGAAACGCGGTGGTCAGTACCGCTGCCTTACAGCGCTAGGGACCCGGGTTCAATTTCATCTTCAGGAGACTGTTTATGTGGAGTTTGCACATTCTACAAGTCTGCATGTTTCATCCAGGTGGTCCGGTTTCCTCTTACAGTCGAAAAACGTGCAGGTTAGGTGAACTGGCCAAGCTAAATTAGCCATCGTAGCCAGGGATGTGTAGGATTAGCCGAGGGCATGCAGGGTTACGGGGTTAGGGTAGGGGGTGTGTCTGGTGGGATGCTGTTTTGGAGGATCACTGTGGACTCGATGGCCCGAATGCTACATTTTATGATTCTATCAACTTATAAGCTATCTGGGCATACAAAATAGAAGTAGGCCATTCTGTCCTTGGGCATCCTCTGCCATTCACTCTGATCATGGCTAATCATTCAACTCAGTATCCAGTTCCCGTTTTCTCCTTTGATCCCTTTAGCTCCGAGAACTAAATCTATCTCCTTCGTGAAAACATTTGACATATTGATCTCAATTGATTTCTGTGGCAGAGAATTCCACAAGCTCATTGCTCTTTGGGTGAAGAAATTCTCTCTCATCTGAAACCTAAACAGCCCACCCCGTATCCTTAAACTGGTAACACATTCTATACTCCCGTTTACTCTGCATTTACCTGTCTAATCCAGTTAGAATTTTAAAGATTTCTAAAGAGATCCCCCTCATTCTTCTAAACTCTAATGAATATAGCCCTAATTGATCTGGTTTCTTTTCAAGCAGCAGTCCTGCCATTCCAAGAATCAGTACGGTAAACCTTTGTGGCACCCTGTCCATTGCCAGAACATCCATCCTCAGAGGAGACTTCAAGTACACACAATTATCCAGGTGTGGTCTCACCAAGGACCTGTACAAATGCAGCAACACATCTTTGCTCCTGTACTCAAATCCTCTCACTATGAAGGCCAAAATACCATTTGCCTTCTTTACTGCCTGCTGCTCCTCACCTTTAGCGACTGGTGTACAAGGATACCAAGGTCTCACTGTACCTTGCCCTTTCTCAAAGTAATTTCCATTCAGATAACAAACCACCTTCCTGTTTTTGCTCCCAAAGTGGATAACCTCACTTTTATCCAAATACTTCATCTTCCACCCCAGTTTTGTGAATGAGTTTTTGTACCCTGATCATGGATTCATATGTTCTATGATCATGATATTCACTCCAGTATTAGTTCAATCAAGTAATGAAAAAAAAAACTATATCCTATTTACAATATTCTCATGTTTCACTGCTACTCTACTGATTGTAATGTTAATATTTATCTCACTGAATAAACAGTGTGAAATATTCTGTGTCTGTTTCACATAACTTATTTGAAGATCATTCTAGTGGCACTAAGGCAGAAATGGCACATTGCAAAACATAAGAAAATGATTACATGTACAAGCATATCCCATTTTAAAAATAATGTTGATTTATCTTAAGTAGAAAAAAAACTGATTTGGTAAATAAAGCTCTGGGGATTAAACTAATTGTCTTGTGTAGAATAATGGCCTCCCAGCAAGTGATTACTTTTGACACTCAAGATAAAAATAAAAGTCCTTAAAACATGAAAATATCTACGCACTGGGCTTTTCTTTATATCATTTAATTGTGGAAATAGATCATTCACATACCGGTTAGGGTTGTTTTGAGACCCAGCAAGTTGCTTATAATCATCTCCAGATGTTGACCAAGGAACATAGAACAAGGAAGAATCAGCAGTGGTTGACACTGATGCAGTATAGGACTGATGTGAATCTATATTTTCTTCATATTGAGGTACCTGAGAATTCAGTTGCAAGATGAAAAATCTTAACACTATTGAAATGCAATGATCAAGATTATAAATATATTAGTCCTCCTAAGACTGTTTCAAAACATACAATTCTGGTTCAAATCACAAAATCTGTCCATTCGGTAAGATAGAATAACTTTAGTAGATGTACAAAATAACTATATATTTATAAAGCAGCTCAACTTAAAAGAAAACCTTCTAAGGTGCTTCACAATAGCATCATAAAGTGTAACATTTAAACCAATAAAGAAATCAGCAACAAATGCTAGCACTGCGAGCAATGTTTACATCTTACGAATGAACTAAAAAAAACTGACAGGTTTGAATCTCAAAACTACAATTTCATCGAATGACCTAATTCTGTGCTGTAACCGTTTAGCATTGGTTTTTATGCTGGAACAATGAGAGAGAAACTTTCCTAGTCCCACTTCTCTGTAGCAATGCAATTTTTAAAAACTTTTCAAAAAGAAAATTGGATAGTTTTCCGAAGGCGTAGATTGAATCGACAGTAATGCATACTTCAGGATGTGAGAAATGGAGTTCCGCAGGGGTCTGTGCTGGGATCTCAACTTTTTACAAGTTGCAACGATTTAGTTGAGAAAAGTCCAGGAATGATAGCTAAAATTGTAGATTACACAGAGATAGTTAAGAAAGTATTTTGTGAAGGAAACATAAGGAAGAAATTGTGTAAGAATATAGATCGATTTAGTGAATAAGCAAAAATCTGGCAAGTGGAGTATAATGAAGAAAAATGTGAAGTTTTCACTTTCGCAGGAAGAATAAATAAAAAATAAAGAGCGTATTACTTAAATGGAGAATGACTGCCGAACTCCAAGGTGCAGAGGGATTTAAGAGCTCCAGTGCACGAGACAAAAGTTAGTGTTCAGGTACAGCACAATCAAAGAAGCTAATGGGATGCTCTCCTCTATTATGGGTAAAATTGAAAATTAAAGTAAGGACAGTTACACAGGGCAATGGTGAGGCCACATCTTGAACACCAAGTACAGTTATGGTCTCCTTATTTACAAAAGGATGTAAATGTATTAGAGGGGGTTCACTAGATTGACATTTGAATGAGTCGGTCATCTTATCAGGATAGGTTATACAGATTGGTCTAATTTCCACTTGAGTTTAGAAAAGTTACGGGTGATTTGATTAAAGTGTATAAGATCCTAAATGGTCTTGACAAGGTCATGAATAGGATGTTCCCTTTTGTGGTTGAGTAGAGAACTGGAAGCACTGTTTCAAATTTAGGGGTCACCTTTTCAGCATAGAGGAAGAGCAGAAAAGTTCTCTCTCTAGGAGCTGTATGACTGTGGAACACTGACTCAGCACATTGAGGAGGCAGGGTCATTATATTTTTAAGACAGAAGTAGACAGAGTCTTATTAGGTAGGGTTATTGGGCTAGATGCAATTTTTTTTTCTTCATGCATTTATTACCCATCCCTAATTGCACAGAAGGCAGTTAAGAGTCAACCATATTGCTATGGGTCTGGAGTCACATGTAGGCCAGACTAGGTAAGGATGGTAGTTTCCTTCCCAAAAAGGATATTAGTGAATCAGATGGGTTTTTCTAACAATCGATTCACAGAAGACTCTTAATTCCAGATATTTATTGAATTCAAATTCCACCATCTGCCATGACAGGATTCGAACTCAGGTCCCCAGAACGTTATCTGGGTCTCTGGATTAACAGTCCGGCAATAACATCACTGGGCCGACTCCTCCCATCTGAAACAAACAGATCAGCCATGACCTTAATGAATGGCAGAGTATGCTTCCAGAGATGAACAGTCTACTTCAACTCCTATTTCATATGTTCATATATTTATGATGTGTAGATATCATCACTATCTTTGAACCTGCAACCAGTCAAACAGTAACAAAGGTGCTTGCCAATTTATGAACGTTGTACTTACAAATGCGATCACAAACGGGGATAATTTTGAGGATCCGGTACACGAACCTTTTCTATACTTACAAATGGCTACTTTACATTGTCCTGCATTGTGTTCCAACTTGTGAACAGTAATAATTCAGAAAGCCCAACTAAAAAGGAACATCATTTATTGTTGAAAGTAGAGCCACTACTCGTAGCATACAAAGGCTTGCCTCAGTTTGGGACAGACAGTTCTTTATTTTCTGTTCTAATCAACCTTTTCAAAGTTGCTATCAAACACCTCTGGAACAGGTTAGACTTGAACCTGGGCCTCTTGGCTCAGAGGTAGGAACACTATCACTGCACCATAAAAGCACCGAGTCTGCTTTATTGTTTTTTGGTGTTTTAAAAACAACCTGTTCAGGTAAGTTATGATGCAGGTCCGGAGCAAGTGGAACTTGAAGGTCTCCTGGAACAGAGGTAGGGGCAGTACCACTATGCCACAAGAGCCTATAGGGCTCAGTTGATGAGTTCCAGCTGGACAGACTATTGCCTGTTACCTAAGGAACACATACTCCACAAACTCTACGAGGCAATTAATTAATGATTTCACATGGGATTATCACACAAATGGACTCAAGACTGGAACTTGTTCGCAATCCAGTTTATACGGTGCATTCCATACTCATAAAGACCATAAAGACATAGCAGCAGAAATAGATCATTCGGCTCAGTGAGTCTGTCCTGTCATTCAATGATATCGTGGCTGATCAGATAAACCTCAACTCCACTTGCTTTTTCCGCATAACTCTTGATTTCCTTACTAATTAAAACATCTCAGCCTTGAACATAAGTTTGGCTTCTACAGTCCTCCACAGTAAAGAATTCGAAACATTTACTACCTTCAGAGAAGAAAATCTCTCTCAGTTGTTTTAAATGGGTGAAGTCTTACTCAAATTACACCCTTACTCTGAGATTATGCCCTTTGGCCCTCGTTTCTCCCATAAGGGATAGCAACCTCTCACCATATACCCTTGCAAGACCCATAAGAATCTTATGCTTCACCTCTCATTGTTCTAAGCGCCAATTAGTACAAGCGCAACCTACTCATAAGACAATAACTCCACACCCAAGATCAACCTAGTAAACCTTGTCCAGACAGCTTCCAATGCCAGTATGCACAACCTCACATTTTCCCACATTGTTTCACATCTGACAAGTTTTTGCCGAAGTATTTAACCAATCTACATCTCTCTGCAGACCTCGTGTTATTGTCACCTCCCATCTTCTCACTTAATTTTGTGTCATTGCAAACTTGGCAATAGTATGTTCACTTCTGACCTTCACATCATTAATATATATTTGTAAATAATTATGGCCCCAGCACTGATCACTGTAACAATCCATTATTTACAGGGTTCAGTCCTGAAAATGCCCACCCTATCCGTGCTCTGTCTTCTATTAGTTAGCCAATTCTTCATCAATTCTAATATATTACCCCCAACACAATAGGCTCTTATCTTATTAAGTAGCTAAACATACCTGATCAAAAACAGTACTCCAAATATATTTCATCCAGTGGTTCCCCTTTGTCTGGCCTGTTTGTAATCTCCTCAAAAAAATCTAATAAATTTTCAGATGTAATTTTCCTTTCATGAAGCTATGTTGATTCTGCTTGATTTTATGTATTTCCAAATGGTCTGCTATAATATCCTTTATAACTGACTCTAATATTTCCCCAATGACAAGTGGTAAGCTACATGACCTAGAGCTGCTTGTTCTTTTACATCCTTCCCTTTGAATAAAGGTGTTCTATTGGCAGTCTTCCAATTCTCCAGGACTTTTCCAAATTCTAAGGATTCTTGGAAGACTACTACCAGTGCATCTACTGTCTCTGTCACCACCCTATAATATCCTAGGGCCCTGGTACTATTTCTCTCAACTCTGCCCTCATTCCTTTCTAATGACTCTTATTTAAGCTCAGCACAGTTGTTTCTGACCCAAGTTTCTCATCTCAATCTGACTGCTAAATTCTACCACTGGTTGAATATATGGTCACTTTTTTTTCTAAGGGAAGTTTTATACTGATAGTTTATCAAACTCACCTAAATACATATAACCAGATCCAAAACAGTCTGATCCCACATTGGATCCATAACACATTGTTCTAGCAATCTGTTCCAAATACATTATGAATTCTTCCTCATGGCTACGTCTGCCAATTTGATTATCCCCATCCACATGAAGATTAAAGTCACCCATAATTAATGTACTGCCTTTCTTACATGCACTTGTATCTCCTCATTCAAATTCACTTTTGATATAGAACAGTCAAATATTTCTCTCTTTCCTGTTGTGCCAGTTGGGAAATTTGTTAATGGGTTCTCCATGGCTGTGTAAAGGAAGCTTACTTTCACCAGTCAATATGTATATTATACACAGGGAACCGTCCATTAAAAAGTTGGCTTCATCAGGAGTCTTTCATTTAGGGCACTAGACATTTGCTCACTTTACAAGCTGCTGCAAAAGTAGTGCAAAATTATCTTGCACGATGATGGCTAACCCGATCAGATCATTGTTCACTGTGTATTGTGGGCCAGAAATAGCTTTTCAGACCTGAAAAGTACCTGGTCTAATTCAAGATTATCCTGGGAGGGCAAATTATCTCCAAATTCGAACAATAAGGAAGCCATTTCACGTTACTACTATGCAGATATTATTGCACACAAATGTGGTACTTGCCACTAACAACATACTGCATCAGTCCAAAAAGATACTTTATTTACCATCCAACTGAATAATGTCACATAGGAGTTTCAGTGCCAGGGAACTACCAGGAATGTAGGCTGCAATTCCGAGCAATTAGCTGATCAAATAAAAGACCTTCAAATTACTCGATAGGCCAAGTATGACTCATACTAAACCAGCCAGGGCTTGTAAAACCCAAAGCAATATATTTATGATTAGATGTGATTCTGCAAATAGACATGTTGAATAATCCTGCACTAATGACTACACTAACAAACAATTTAAGACAATTAAACTTGCAGTGTAGCTTACTTACACACTTGCTAAAAGTAACATACCTTCATATGCAGGGAGCTGTTCTCTGCAAACACTGCAACAAAAGTCCAAAGATGTGCAGGTTAGGTGGATTGGCCATGCTAAATTGTCCATAATGTCCAGGGACGTGCTCGCTAGGTGAATTAACCACAGGAAATGCAGGGTTACAGGGATAGGGCCGGCATGGGGAAGGGGGTGGCGGTGGTTTGGTCTGGGTGGGATGCTCTTCAGGAGGGGTGGTGTGGACTCAAATGGGCCAAATGGCCCATTTCCACACGGTGGGGTTCTAATGATTCTATATTCAAGATTTATGTTATCTTCTAAAGTACCCCCAAACTGGGGGAAAAGTATAGTTTGTGGAGCTGGGAGGAACACAGCAGGCCAGGCAGCATCAAAGGAGCAGGAAAGCTGACATTTCAGGTCAGGACCCTTCTTCAGAAATGAGGGAGGGGGAAGGGAGCTCTGAAATAAAATCGAGAGGATAGGTGGGACTGGGGAAGGTAGGTGAGATGGTGATAGGTGAGTGCAAGCAGGCAGTGGTGGGGATTGGTCAGTGAGGTGGGAGGATGGACAGGTGGGAGAGAAGACGGACAGGTCAAGAAGGTGTAGATAAGAGAGGGGGTTGGTCATGAGATAAGGCCAGGGGTGGGGAGATTTTGAAACTAGTAAAGTCCACGTTGAGACCATTGAGTTGTAGGCTCCCTAGGCGGAAATGAGGTGCTACTCCTCGACTGCATCTCGTGTTTCCCATGCCTCTTCCCTCACACCCCCTCCCCGCAACAAAAACAAAGACAGAATCCCACTTGTCCTCACGTATCACCCCACTAACCTCCGGATTCAACGCGTCATTCTTCGCCACTTCCACCACATGCAATCTGACCCCACAACCAAGGATATATTTCCCTCCCCACCCCTATCTGCCTTCCGTAGGGATCACTCTCTCCGTGACTCCCTCATCCACTCCACACCTCCCACTAGCCCCACCAACCCCAGCACCTTTCACTGCTACCGCAGGAAGTGCTACACCTTGTCTGACACCTCCCCCTCACCTCCATCCAGCCACCCAAAAAACCTTCCACAGACAGATGTTCACCTGCATATCCACTAATATGGTCTGCTGCTCCCGACGTGGCCTCCCCTACATCAGTGAGACCAAGCAGAGGCTCGGAGAGCGCCTGTGCTCTGTTCACGACAAACAACACCTTCCAGTCACGAACCACTACAACTCCCCCTCCCTCTCCCTGGACAACATGTCCATCCTGAGCCTCCTCCGGTGTCACAACGACGCCACCCAGAAACTGGAGCAGCACCTCATATTCCGCCTTGGGAACCTACAACCCAATGGTCTCAATGTGGACTTTACTACTTTCAAAATCTCCCCACCCTCGGCCTCATCCCATGACCTCCTCTCATCCCCACCTCCTTGACTGTCTGTCTTCTCTCCCACCTATGCGCTCCTCCCACCTCATTGACCAATCCCCACTACTCCCTACTTGCACTCACCTATCACCATCCCACCTACCTTCCCCAGCCCCACCCCTCCTCTATTTATTTCAGAGCTCCATTCTCATTCCCCCAATTCTGAAAAAGGGTCCCGACCCGCAACATCAGCTTTCCTGCTCCTCTGATGCTGCCTGGCCTACTGTGTTCCTCCAGCTCCACGCCGTTATCTCTGACTCCAGCATCGGCAGTTCTTACTATCTCTGAAAATTATAATTTCCCTGTTTGCTCCTTAGCAACACTATTGCTAGAGTTGATTTGCCAAACATTCACCATCCCCTTCTTCTGTGGCGTAAACTGTTATGATTGTTTGAAATTTACCATTTTTACACTGGTTAATGCATTTTGCAACATGCCTCTGTTTTCACAAAGTTAACTGGAAGTTGTCAAGAGATCCTAAAAGCCACTGGGAAATGTCACTGTCCTCACTGAATAAAGCTGTGCGGATGGAATTCCTAATGAAGTGGTGATAGCTTCTTTTCCAGATTTAGCAGCAGCTGCATACAGGACCGATGTCACTCACCACTGATAATATGAACATTTAGGAAGTGAAATGGCAAATGGAAGTGTAACGGAGACCTTCGTGAATGGCAGGTTAACAGTAAACATCTTCAATCAGTAGCAAAGTAGTAAAAAATTAAGCCACATCAGGTACGAGACACATTCAGGGTGATTTCAAGAAAGACTATATTAAAAAGTAGGGAAAAAACAATAAATTTCCAGGAATAATTTAATAATGGCAGAAAGGACAGGATTTGCCTTCAACTCATTTCACACAATGGGTGCTACTTTGCTGTTAATAATGAGTTCTACATTCCTGTGATGTGTTTACTGAGTGATTAATGTACAATGCCAGCAAATTCTTAAGAATAATGGGAAGAGTAAAAGGATATCAACCAGCAATTGCTGGGGATTTGCATAATCTCCTCTTCTCTGAGTTTACTAGCCAGTGTGTACATGTGTAAGTCACGAACTTGCTATTATTATTTCAGGAAGGTTCGGTCCACCATCTCTGCTTGAATTCCAGTGTGTAAAGCTGTACAATTTTAAATGCTGTTTTCATAAAATATACATTTTAATTGCATTCCAACCAAAGTTCAGAAAATAACATGCTATTCTTACCTGTGCTTTATAAGGACTGAAGAATGAATTGCAGTTGACCAATGCATCACTAAATACATCTGTTGTTCTGCTGTTAGCATCAATACCATTGTAGTAACGATTCACACTTTTCAAAATAGTTTTAGGCTGAAAAATGAAAGAAAACCAATATGCCCTTTTGCCCTTGATATTATTTTAAAAATTAGCAATTATTTTTAATTAGAGAGAAACATTCATTGAAAACTAGGTCAAAAAAAAGGTTTAGGTAATGTACAATTAGGAAGGTATAATTTACTACTTTCAGGTCGGACACTTTTCTTACATGTTCAGGAACGAGCAAATTACGATGTATTTTACAAGATATGGCTGTCCCCCGTTACCTTGATTTTCCTTGGAGGTCACTTGCTGACAATCTTCGTCATTGCGAAGACAAATAGGGCTAGGTAACAGAAACATAGAAGACAGGAGCAGGAGGAGACCATTTATCCCTTTGGGCCTGCTCCGCCTTCATCATGATCATGGCTGATTGTCCAACTTAATAGCCTAATCCAGCTTTCCCCCCATAACCTTTGATCCCATTCGCCCAAAGGGCAATATCTGGTCACCGCTTGAATATATTCAACGTTTTGTCATCAACTACTTCCTGTGGCAATGAATTCCACAAGCTCACCACTATTTGGGTGAAGAAATGTCTCATCTCCGTCCTAAATCGTGTACCCCAAATCCTCAGACTTGACTCCTGGTTCTGGAAACACCCATCAGGAACATCCTTCCTGCATCTACCCTGTCTAGTCCTGTTAAAATTTTATAAGTCTCTTTCAGATCCTCCCTCATTTGTCTGAACTCCAGCGAAAACAATCCTAACCTCGTTAATCTCTCCTCATACGTCAGTCCCACCATACCTGGAATCAGTCTGGTTAACCTTTACTGCGCTCCCAAGAGTAAGAGCATCCTTCCAAGGGAAAGCACCAAATCTGGACACAATATTCTAGGCATGGCCTCATCAAGGCCCTGTATAACTGCAACACATTCCTGCTCCTGTAATTGAGACCACTCGCAATGAAGGCCAACATATCATTTCCCTTCTATACTGCCTGCTGCACCTGCATGCTTATCTTCAGCAAGTGGTGCACAAGTACACCCAGGACCGGCTGCACACTCCCCTCTACCAATTTACAGCCATTCAGGTAGTAATGTGCCTTCTTGTTTTTGTTTCCAAAGGGAATAACCTCACATTTATCCAAATTATACTGCATCTGCCATTGATGTGCCCACTCACCTGACCTGTCCAGGCCATCTTCATCACCTCCCACTCAACTTGGTATCATCTGTAAACTTTGACATGTTGCATTTTGTTCCCTTATCTAAATCATTAATATGTACCATGAACAGCTAGAGTCCCAGCACCAATCCCTGTGGCACCCTGCTAGTTACTGCCTGCCAATTTGAAAAGGACCCATTAATTCCTACTCTGTTTCCTCTCTGCCAGTTTTCTATCCATTTCAATACACATCCCCAATCCCACGCGCTTTAATCTTGCGCAACAATCTCTTATGCGGGACTTTGTCAAATGCTTTCTGAAAGTCCAAATATACCACATCGACGAGTTCCTCCTTGTTAACTCTACTAGTTACATCTTCATAGAATTCTAACAGATTTGTCAGGCATAATTTCCCCTTCATAAATCTATGCTGACTCTGTATGATCCTGCCACTGCTTTGTAAATGCTCGGGTATAAAGTCCTTGATGATGGATTTGAGCATTTGCCCCACCACCGATGGTAGGCTTACTGGTCTATCATTCCTTTTTCTCTAGCTACCCTTCAATCTGCAGGGACTATTCCAGAGTCTATAAAATCCTGGAAGATGACCCCCAACGTATCCAATATTTCTAGAGCCATATCTTTAAGTACTCTGGGATGTAGGTTATCAGACCCTGGGGATTTTTTTTCTATTAATTTGTAGGATGTGGGCCTTGCTGGCTGGCCAGCATTTCTTGCCCATCCCTAGTTGCCCTTGAGAAGGTGATGGTGCGCTGCCTTCTTGAACCGCTGCAGTTCTCCTGCTGTGAGTTGACATACAGTGCTATTAGGGAGGGAAATCCAGGATTTTGACCCAGAAACAGTGAAGGAACAGTGATATATTTCCAAGTCAGGATGGTGAATAGCTTGGAGGGGAACTTGCAGGTGGTGGTGTTCCCATATGTCTGACGCCCTTGTCCTTCGAGTGGAAGTGATCGTGGGTTTGCAAGGTGCTGTCTGAGGATCTTTGGTGAATTTCTGCAGTGCATCTGGCAGATAGTACACACTGCTGCTACTGACCGTTGGTGGTGGGAGGGAGTGAATGCTTGTGGATGTAGTTCTAATGAAGCAGGCTTTGTCCTGGATGGTATCAAGCTTCTTGAGTGTTGTTGGGGCTGCACTCATCCAGGCAAGTGGGGAGTATTCCATCACACACCTGACTTGTGCCTTGTAGTTAGTGGTCAGGCTTTGAGGAGGCAGGAGACGAGTTACTCACCACAGTATTCCTAGCCTCTGGCCTGCTCTTGTAGCCATTGGGTTAATGTGGCGAGTCTGGTTGAGTTTCTGGTCAATGGTAACTCCCAGGATGTTGATAGTAGGGAATTCAGGGATGGTAACACCATTGAATGTCAAGGCACAGTGGTTAGATTGTCTCTTAGTAGTGATAGTCATAGCCTGGCATTTGTGTGGTGCAAATGTCACTTGCCACTGTTAGACTAGCTGAAAATGGTTGGGCCTTGGACACTACCCAGAGGATCTCCTGCAGAGATGTCCTCGAGCTGAAATGATTGACCTCCAACGACCATGGTCAGCTTCCTACGTGTCAGGTATGACTCCAACCACCGGAGCGTTTGCCCCTGATATCACCGGTTCCAGTTTTGCGAGGGCTCCTTGATGCCATACTCTGTCGAATGCAGCCTTGATATCAAGGGCTGTCAGTCTCACCTTACCTCTGGAATTCAGCTCTTTTTATCCGTGTTTGAACCAAGGCTGTAATGAGATCAGGAGCAGAGTGGCCCTGGCAGAACCCAAACTGGGTGTCACTGAGCAGGTGCTGCTTGATAGCAGTGTTGATGACACCTTCCATCACTTTATTGATGGCCGATAGTAGACTGATGGGGCGGTAATTGGCCAGCTCTGATTTGTCTTGCATTTTGTGTACAGGACATACTTGGGAAATTTTCCACATTGTCAGGTAGATACCAGTGTTCTAACTGTACTGGAACAGCGTAACTAGGGGAACGGCAAGTTCTGGAGCACAAGTCTTCATACTATTGTCATAATTTTGTCAGGGCCCATAGCCTTTGCAGTATTCAGTGTCTCCAACAGTTTCTTGATATCACGTGGAATGAATCGAATTGGCTGAAGACTGGTATCTGTAATGCTGGGGACACTGGAGAAGGCTGAGATGGATTGTCCACTTGGCACTCCTGGCTGAAGATTGCTGCGAATGCTTCAGCCTTATCTTCTGCACTGATGTGCTGGGCTCTTCCATCGTTGATGATGGGGATATTTGTGGAGCCTCCTCCTCCAGTGAGTTGTCTAATTATCCACCACCATTCACGACTGGATGTGGCAGGACTGCAGAGCTTAGATCTGATCTGTTGGTGTGGGATCTCTTAGCTCTGTCTATCACTTGCTGCTTTCGCTGTTTGGCGTGCATGTAGTCCTGTTTGGTATCTTCACCAGCTTGATACTTCATCTTCAGGTATGCCTGATGCTGCTCCTGGCATGCCCTCCTGCACTCTTCATTGAAACAGGGCTGATCCCCTGGCTTGATGGTAATGGCTGAGTGGGAGATATGCCAGGCAATGAGGTTACAGATTGTGCTGGAGTACAATTCTGCTGCTGTTGATGGCCCACATTGCCTCATGGATGCGCAATCTGGAGTTACTAGACCTGTGCGAAGTCTGTCCTATTTAGCATGGTGATACTGCCACACAACATGATGGAGGCTGTTCTCAACGTAAAGGCGGGTCTTCATCTCCACAAGGACCGTGCAATTGTCACTCTTACCAATACGGTCATGGACAGATACAAATGCAGCTGGCAGATTAGCAAGGATGAGGTTAAGTACATTTTTTTCCCTCTTGTTGGTTCCATCACCACTTGCTGCAGACCCAGTCTAACAACTATGTCCTTTAAGACCCGACCAGCTCGATCAGTAGTACTGCTGCCAAGCCACTCAGTGGTGGATGCCCCCACCCGGAGTGCATTTTGTGCCCTTGCCATCCTTAGTACTTCCTCTAAGTGTTGCTCAACATGAAGGAGCACTGATTCGTCAGCTGAGGGAGGACGGTACATGGTAATCAGCAGGAGGTTTCCTTGCCCATGTTTAACCTGAAGCCATGAGACTTCATGGGTGTGGAGTCAAGTTTGAAGACTCCTACAGCAACACCCTCCCGACTATATACCACCGTGCTGCCACCTCTGCTGGGACGGGACATATCCAGGGATGGTGATGGTGGTGTCTGGGACATTGTCGGTAAGGTATGATTCTGTGAGTATGATATGACAGGCTGTTGCTCAACTCGCCTGTGAGACAGCTCTCCCAATTTTGGCACTAACCCCCACATGTTTGTGAGGAGGACTTTGCACTGTCGACAGGGCTGGTTCTGCCATTGTCTCTTCCAGTGCCTAGGTCAATGCCAGGTGATCTGTCCAATTTCGTTTCTTTGAGAGACATTGTAGCAATTGGTACAACTGGAGTGGCTTGCTAGGCCATTTCAGAGGGCAGTTGAGAGTCAACCACATTGCTGTGGGTCTGGAGTCACATGTAGGCCAGACCAGGTGAGGGTGGCAGATTTCCTCCCCTGAAGGGCATTAGTGAGCCAGATGGGTCTTTCCTACAATCGGCAATGATTTCACAGTGATCAGTAGATTCTTAATTACAGACTTTTTGTTTTGAATTCAAATTCCACCATCTGCCATGGTGGGATTTGAACCCAGGTCCCCAGAACATCAGCTGTGTTTCTGGATTAATAGACTAGCAATAATACCACTGGGCCATTGCCTACCCTTTCTGCCTTCAAAACCCATCAATTTTCCCAGCATATTTCTCTACTAATACTGATCTCCCTCAATTCTTCCCTCTCTAATCCTGCATTCTCCAACATTTCTGGTCTCT